TTTTGAACAAAAGAGATTGTCATGATGAACGTACATTGTCATGATGAGAAAGAAGCATCAGTGTAAATCTTCAATTGTCTGTTTAGATGTGCTAAATAATTGTCCCATTATTGCCACACATTTTTTATAAACTTCTAAATACTTGTCCTAGTACTCTCTCTTGAACTCACAAAAAAATGATATCTACAACAAGAATGAGAACAAAAAGCTTTAATAATTTTTTACTGAAAATACTCAAATTAACAAAAAGATAACAATTGTGTTCTACCTTTCAACGTGCTAGTCCCTCCCAGTAAAGAATCTGCACCTCCCCTGCACCAACTAATAACATTTTCAACCTAGATTAACAAATAATAGTAACAGGGGCTTTCTATTTTCACCTTGCGCACCAATAAAAAAATAACAGGTGATAAAAAAAAACCAGTAACAGGGGAAAAATAACAAGGGACAAGAGAGGTTTAAAATAACAGCGGACATTTTTCAACCTAGTTTAAAAATATAATAGTAGCAGGGTTGCATTCAGTTTTCACCTTGTGCACCAATAAAAATAACAATAACAGGTGATAAAAAATATAACCAGGAACAGGGGAAAAATAACAGGGGACAAGAGAGGTTTAAAAAAGTTCTTGGCTAAGTAATTACTTCCGAAATAAACGTAATACTAGATTGAAAACAATAAAGTAATCACTCTTATTTTTATACTAGACATGAAAGACACCTAATCTGATACAAAAACTTTAATTTTTTCCCCCAAAATACCCCTAAGATTAAAACTGTCCCATAATTATGAATTATTAAAACACTGTAAAGTTAATTGCTCATGTCTTTACAAGCGGCCTTGAAATTAAAAAACATTGAAGCCATAAAATTTGTTAGCTGTGGTGAAGCCAGAAAAGAAAATTCCAGTATTTAACAGTATTTAAACATAAGTATACCATTAGTTTTTGGTCTGATAATATAAGCTTCAGCTAAAAAAAATAAAAAAAGATAAAAACCATTACTCACTCTATGGGCTCGATTCTCAAACATGTACTTATCATATGCATTTAATCAAACACCATATATCCATTTTATAGAGCACTAAATATCCAATTTTTATGATTAAGGGTCGTAAGTAATTTAGACTTTTCTGTAGAATTTCCCACATTAATGTTTGTTTTTGTCTCTTTCTTCTTCCGTATCTCATTTTTGGTTATTTTTAGTTCAACAAATTAACATTAAGATAAGATGGACAAGAGTTGGATTAAAATCAAGAATAAGGTCGATCCGAAGTTCATGAAAGGAGCAATCGGTTTTGCGGAGATGGCTAAGGGATATGTTGATAGCGAAGGTCTTACACATTGTCCGTGCAATAACTGTCTGAATGTAATAAAGCAGTTACCTGATATTGTTGGTGATCACATAATACATCATGGCTTTCAACAATCGTATGTAAAATGGATATTTCATGGGGAAAGTAGTTGGGAACATGAAACAAACGACGACCTTGACGAAACTGACAATGAATCAAATGACGGGGTCCACGATTTACTTGGTGATGCGTTTAATGTTGGATATGAAACCGAAGGAGGAGATGGAAACAATGAGTTCGAGTCTTCTAATCGATCTAGCAATCCCAATGTGGACAGGTTATTTGCTGATATGGAGAAACCCTTATTTCCGGGATGTGATACTTTCTCGGTACTGGGCTTTATATTACGATTGATGCATGTGAAAGTAACCTGTAAAATGACAAATGTGTCCATGGATATGATACTGAAGTTATTGAGTGAGGCATTCAAGGACACAATAATCCCTAAAACCCACTACGAGGCAAAAAAGTATTTGCGTACTCTTGGACTTGGATACGAATCAATCCACGCTTGCAGGCACGACTGTGCGTTGTTTTGGAAGGAAAATTCAGAATTACAATCATGTCCAGTTTGTGGCGGTAGTCGTTGGGTAGACGATCAAACGAATCAAAAGAAGATACCAGCAAAAGTCTTGCGTTACTTTCCCGTCACAAGTAGACTAAAGCGGTTATATGCATGTAGGTATACTGCAAAGGACATGCAGTGGCACGCTCACAACAAATCCAAAGAAGAAGGAGTTCTTAGGCATCCAGCAGATGGAAAAGCATGGAAGCACTTCGATAGAATCTATCCAGATTTTGCAAACGAACCTAGAAATGTACGCCTAGGGCTTGCAAGTGATGGTTTCAACCCTTTTGGGACGATGAATACTTCATATAGTATGTGGCCTGTTGTGCTTATACCGTACAATATGCCTCCGTGGAAGTCTATGAATGATGCCTCATTTATGATGTCTTTGTTGATTCCAGGCAAAGATTCACCTGGAAAGGACATTGATGTATATTTACGTCCATTGGTAGATGAGTTGAAAGTTCTATGGGAGAATGGTGTCGAAACATATGATTCTGAATCTCGATGTACATTCAACATGCGTGCAGCAGTTATTTGGACGATAAATGATTTTCCTGCATATGGTTACCTGTCTGGATGGAGCACGAGTGGGTACATGGCATGCCCAATATGCAACGAAGATGCACCAAGTATTCGTTTACGAAATAAAATAGGATATGTAGGTCATAGGCAATTTCTTCCCCACGATCATCCTTGGAGGAATGAACAAGATTTTAATGGGAAAAAAGTGGACAGGCTTGCACCTAAACATATCAGCGGAGAATATTGCTTACATCAACTAGAACACGTCCCTCAATGTCCACATGGAAAAAACCAGTCTTACACCGGCCAAAAACGTAAAATGGGCATAAGAGAGTTAAATTGGACAAAAAAAGCATATTCTTTGAACTACCATACTGGTGCAAGTTGTTAATGCGTCATAACATTGATGTCATGCATGTTGAAAAAAATGTTTTTGAGAACATTTTGGGAACTTTATTAAACATAGAAAAGAAGACAAAAGACACTGATAATGCTCGCCGTGATTTGCAGGATATGAAAATACGCAAGCATCTTCACTTAGTGAAGAAAAATGATCGTTGGATTAAACCACCAGCTCCATATGTTTTAAATCGAAAAGAGAGACACCAATTTTGCAGTACAATTAAGTCTGTTCGTTTTCCAGATGGATACGCCTCAAACCTGGCTAAAAATGTTATTCTCGAGCAATGTAAGATATATGGACTTAAATCTCATGAATGTCATGTCTTACTGCAACGTGTACTCCCTATCGCTATTCGTAGGCTTTTGAATAAGCCAATACGTGATACATTGGTAGAGTTTTCTCGGTTTTTCAAGATTATAACTTTAGTCACATTACATGTGGGAGAGTTAGAAATGCTGCAAACAGAGATAATTAAGATTCTTTGCAAGCTGGAACGCATATTTCCTCCCTCATTTTTTACAGTTATGATGCACTTATGCGTTCATCTACCTCAAGAGGCTATTTTAGGAGGACCCGTACAATCAAGGTGGATGTATCCGGTTGAAAGATATCTTGGCCATTTAAAGAAATATGTTAGAAACAAAGCAACACCTGAAGGTTCAATTGCCGAAGGTTATGTTGTAGAAGAAGCTCTAACATTCTGCTCACACTATTTACAAGGTGTTGATTCAAAACTAGAGAAGCGTGGTAGAAATGATGATGAAAGAGTTAATGATGTTCGAGACTATAAATTGGATATTTTTAAATTGAATGGCCGAGGCATTGGGAAGCGACAAACTGTTAGGCTTTCGAGTACTCTACTGAAGAAAGCACATTGGTTTATCTTAAGTAATTGTGCAGAAGCTGAACCGTACATTGAGTTAGTATATTTTACCTTTCATAGTGAATTCAGTTTTTTATTATCTCAAGGTATTTAAGGCTTATTTTCACCTGACAGGGAACACTTACAACACCTGAAAAGAGAACATCCAAGATCGTTAAATTTTAGCGAATTACAACAATCTTTATTTCCAAGTTGGTTTTCTTTACGGGTAATGTTACTATAACATTAAATTATATCGTTTTATCATGTAGAAGCATTCAACCAACTCATACTTTTCTCAAAATGGTGAACAGATGAGGAAAATGTATGAGCAAAATTCATCCGCAATTGAGGAAGAGTTGTATGCATTATCGCGTGGCCCAGATGATCGAGTTACAACACATGGTGGATACATAGTAAATGGAGTTAAATTTCTTGTTAAGTCACGAGATGACCATAGGAAGACTCAGAATTGTGGAGTTACAGCCCTAGGAATTCACGATGGCGTTGAAGAGGATTATTATGGATATGTTGATGAAGTCCTTGAATTTTCATTCATAAAAGGATATCGAGTTATTTTATTTAAATGCATTTGGTTCGATACCGATCGTAGAAAGAAGCACGTGATGTTTGAGCCTCATTTCATCTCTGTAGATACAACCAAACAAGCTTATAAGGAAGATCCGTTTGTCTTGGAAAATCAAGCAAAACAAGTGTTTTATATAAATGATCCCACACGTGCCTCGAGCTGGAAAATCATAGAAAGGAGCACACATAGGCATTTATGGGACATACCAGAGAATGAGGATACACAAGATTTATTTGAACATGTAGGAACACCGTCACACACAACCCCATTTGAAGCATCTGATTGTGAAAATTTCGAGTTTCATCGAGAAGACGGTGAAGAAGAGTTTGTGGAAGTCGTTGATGATGAAAGTTTTGAAGTTGATTTAGATGATTTTATCGATTATGATACTATCCCCAATGAAGTTATTGAGGAATTACCCGATGAATCAAACGAAGATTTAGATGATAGCAATGAAACAAATTTGGCAGTATATGATGAGTCGGACGATGAATATGAATAAGTGTATTTTTTGTGTTTCTTTGTTGGTGTCTTTAATTTAGTATTTAACACTTTTTGACAAGGAATATGAATAAATGTATTCTTTTTGTATGTTGTTGGTGTGTTTTGTAATTTGTTAATTATTTAGAACTTTTTTGATAATGAATATGAATAATTTTACTCATGACTAACTTGTGTAAAAGCCAAATTTTTGCAGGTAAAATGTGGATATTTCTTGTGTTGATGACGATTGCTAATCTCGGAGGTACGAAGCGTGTAAGGAAAGAACCTCGACAAATTTCGGTTGTGTCAACTGGTGAAGAAAGTGGAAGTGAATTGGATCCAAAGTTGTGCATGCTTTGTACACGTAAACGTGTTATGACATCTGTTGCATCAATAGGTATAACCTTACATGTTAATTTCTGATTACATTTAATTGATACATCCATAATCTGTTAAAGTTGAATTTGGTGACCAAAAGTTAAAGGGTTATAAGTGTAGGGGCTGTTTGGTAAATGTTAGTGTATGGGGCTGTTTAGTAAATGTTAGTGTATGGGGCAGTTTGGTAATGAGTTCAGGGGATGTTTGTTAATGAGTGTAAGAGTTGTTTGGTAATTGTTAATGAAGGGGTTGTTTGGTAATTTTTAGTGCAAGGTTTGTCTTTTTTTACTCTCGTAACAGACATAATCGGTCATAACTAATGATTGAATCTCTGTAGGAGCAACTGTTGCGAGAGAAAATACTCGATCAACTTCATTTCAGCCTGCCCAAGAAGAAAGTGTCTCTAGAACAACTTCTAAAACAACCGAACGTCATCTTTCTCAAAATATGGATTCTTTTCCAAACTCAGGTGATACAGGTAACTACATTTGTGTTTAATATTTTGAGTAATAGTAAATTATATAAATATTGGTACTTGTCTTATATTAGATTATAGTAATGGGCCATTGTGTAATAGTAAATTAAAAACCGGTCTTTTTGTAATAGTATATAAATTACATAAATTATATCCTACATAATAGTAAATTACTTCAATTGTACTTGTGTTAATTAATGTGAAAATAGCAACAAGACAAAGTGGTTCCACCGAAGATACTCAACGATCTTCAATACCGTTAGTTGGTGAAGGAAATGTCTCTAACACAACTGATAACATGGAATCCCAAACTGAGCACTCTCATGCTCCAAGTAAGTAGTACGAATTTTATTATTTTATTTATAACATTACCAATTAAGAACAATATATATTGTGCAGATTAACGACGAAGGAGAGGCCCTAATATTAATAAAAAGGCTTCGCATATTTTGGACAAGATTGTGGAGAATCAACCAGATGCACGGATTACATTGAGAAAAGATATATATACTAAGAAATTTGTTGGGGATTCAGCAGTATATTTTGCAACGGAGGTTGGAATTGTGATGCGAAAGTTTTGTCCAATGGAATTCCATACATGGGAGAAAGTACCGAAAGAAAATAAAGAAGAAATGATCGATAGATTACGTGTAAGTCATACTAGAACCGGACTGAAATTTCTTTTTTAGCACTTTTTTAATTCACTCATTTTTAAAATATGCATAAGGCAGTCATATGAAGTCGGTATGACTTGATTCTTTTTCAACACGTAATTTATTGTTTTTAGTTCATTTTAGACTGCACAAAGTTATATTTTGGTTAAATACTGAATCATCTACAGGTCCGACAAGACAGCATATCTATGTTGTGTTTTTCTTTTGTTTTTTTAAAAATGTTTCGCTTCATATAATAAAGCAAATCCGGTTCCAGTTCCGAATCGGTCCGGTTATAAATCTCATCCCTAAAAGGTTAAAATATGTACTAAATGCAGGCAAAATTTGAAATACCGCACACAAATATAGTTTTGATGGAATGTGTAGATGAGCAAATGCAAAGGCAATGGAAACGCACATGAAATACTTTGAAAGATTTTTGGAAGAAAAATGGAGGAATGACCGATCCACAATTAGCACGATCTAAAATGAAGCCAGATTGTCGTAGCAAAGAAGATTGGTCTCATTTGTGTGATTATTGGGAGACAGATAAAGCACAGGTAACTTTTTCACTCTTTACATATACACATCTTTTACGCAATTATTTATTATTTATATGTTAGTAACCATGTTCAATTTAAATTTTGTAGAAGTATGTTGATCAAATGAAAAATAATCGAGAAAAACTAGTGATTTCAAGTAGAGGAGGTTCTCGATCAATAGCAAATCACAAATTTAGCATGGTAACTAGCGATTTAGTTTATATTTGTATTAACATATTCATTGAACACCAATTATAAATAATTGTTCTTCAATAATTTTTATTATTGCAGAAAAACAAAGAGACTCAATTGCCCCCCACCCCAATCGAATTATATCATAAGTTGCATTTTCATCCTACAAAGGAATGGCTAAATGATGAGACACGCATTCAATATGTAAGAATGATTTATCGAGTAATATTAATTTCCGTTTGTAATTATTGATATTGGTGTTATATATAAGTTATTATAATATGTTTTTATGTTGTTTTAGGAAAATATTCTCCAAATGAAAGAGGATGAATGTACCAAATAAGTTTCTGCGGGAGTAAGCATTACTCCAGAAATAGAATATGAAATAGAGAAAAAAGTCGTTAAAACCATTTGTGCAAAAAAAATAAAACATTACTATCTGGATGGGAGGCTTCAAGTGGACCTATTATGAGGAAAAAAGATCTACATATCTTATCAGCAGCGGAACCGTCTCAATCAGCCTCAATGGATGAAATGGCTTTGAAAAATAAAGTTACTGCACTCGAGGAGGAGATTCGAGAAAACAAAGAAAAAGTGAAACAAAGTGAGGAGAAATGTGAAAAGATGCTTCAATTTATGATCTCAAAGTTCCCAGATTCTCAAAACATATTATGCCCGCCTGATAAAGAAGGATTTCGTGCATATGATGACATGATAAACACATCTGATGAAGAGTAATAGTCATGACCTTAAGTTAAAAGTTAGAACTTTTTTCAGATATGGTTTTACTATTTAGACACTGCTTAGATTTTTTCTGTTTATTGTTTTAATTTGGAAATGATGTCTAGATTACAATACATTTTCTATTTTCAGTACATTTAGTCTATAACTCTAGCACTTACAACTAGTTATTAATACTAAAATGATATTGCATATGAGTTTGATAACCTGTCACTAAAAAAGGTTAGGGACTAAATGATATTTCATTTTAGACTGATATTCAGTCACTGAAAAAGCATGTTAGGGACTGAATGACATTGTATCAGAAACTAATATTCAGTTATTGAAAATTCATGTTAGGGACTGAATAGCATTGAATCTTAGACTGATATACAGTCACTAAAAAACCATGTTAGGGACTAAATGACATTGTATCCTAGACTAATATTCAGTCACTGAAAAACCAAGTTAGAGACTGAATGTCATTGTATCCGAAACTGATATGTAGTCCCTAAGAAACCTGTTTAGAGACTGATTGACATTGTATCTGAGACTGGTATTCAGTCCTTGAAATATTAGGTTAGTGACTGAATAAAATTGTATTTAAGACTGATATTCAGTCATTGAAAAATCATGTTACAGACTAAAGGACATTGTATTTGAGACTGATGTCCAGTCCCTAAAAATCTGATTAGAGACTCATGACATTGTATCCGAGACTGGTATTCAGTCCTTGAAATATCAGGTTAGGGATTGAATAAAATTGTATTTGAGACTGATATTCAGTCATTGAAAAACAATATTAGAGACTAAGCTAGGTAGTTTAGAAGACTGATATTCAGTCCCAAATGATATCAAAAGAGTCTGATAGGACACAAAATAAAGATCTCAATGAAAATATTACATACTGAATAATATATTATAAAGGGCTAATATTCAGTCTCTAAAAGATAGTATCAGGGACTGATATGATATTAAATTGGGGGTTTGAATAAAACAAATTAGAGACTGAATGAGATATTATCTAAGACTGATTTTCAGTCTTTGATACATTGATGAATTAGGGACTAATTTTTAGTCCCAGATACAAAAAAAATCGATTATCTAAGACTAGGTCTCGGGGACTAGCTGGGGACTAGCAAAATCAGTCCCTGATTCTCATCAGAGACTGATTATTGACCATCAGAGACTGATTATATCAGTCTTTGATACCCTTTTTTCTTGTAGTGGTAAAGGATTATGACTGTGAGATCCTGTACCACCCGGGCAAGGCTAACGTGGTAGCCGATGCTCTGAGCCGTAGGGCAGAGAGTGCCCCGATTCGAGACATATGTATGAGGATGACGGTGATGACTCCGATGTTGGATACTATTCGAGAGGCCCAGACAGAGGCTGTGAGACCGGAGAACCGCAAAAGGGAGCGGGTGATTGGACAGGTGTCCGAGTTTGTGACGGATAGTCGAGGGCTCATGACCTTTCGTGGTCAGATTTGGGTGCCGTATACGGGCAGGGCACGTAGCACCTTGATGGAGGAGGCGCATAGATCGAGATTCTCGATCCATCCTGGGGCCACGAAGATGTATTTGGACCTGAAGAGAGACTATTTGGTGGCCTTGTATGAAGAAGGATGTTGCGTGGGTAGTAGAGAGGTGCTTGACCTGTCGTCGGGTTAAGGCCGAGCACCAGCGTCCGCATGGCAAGTTGTGGCCAATAGAGGTTCCCTAGTGGAAGTGGGAACAGATTTCTATGGATTTTATCACCAAATTGCCAAGGACCGCGAGGGGTGTTGATGCAATTTGGGTGATTGTGGACCGGCTGACGAAGAGCGCTCACTTCCTTGCTATCCGTGAGAGCTCTTCTGCGGAGAGGCTGGCAGAGACATATGTGAGAGAGGTGGTGTCGTGGCATGGAGTGCCGATCTCGATTGTGTCAGACCGAGATGTACGTTTCACTTCCAGGTTCTGGAAGAAATTCCATGAGGAGTTGGGTACGAGATTGCATTTCAGTACTGCTTACCACCCACATACGGACGAGCAGAGTGAGCGGACGATTCAGACACTCGAGGACATGCTTCGGGCATGTGTTATGGACTTCGGTGGAAGTTGGCACACATACCTACCTTTGGCTGAGTTTTCTTACAACAACAGCCACCATTCGAGTATTGGTATGCCTCCCTTCGAGCTTTTGTATGGGAGGAGGTGTCGGACTCCCATCTGTTGGGGAGAGGTAGGGCAGCGAGTAATAGGTAGCACTGAGATAGTGCTTAAGACGACTGAGCAGATACAGCAGGTCAGGCAGAGGTTGCTGACAGCCCAGAGCCGTCAGAAGAGTTATGCGGATAGGCGGCGATCCGAGCTCGAGTTCCAGGTTGGAGATTTCGTACTCCTGAAGGTATCTACTTGGAAAGGAGTGATCCGATTCAGAAAGAGGGTCAAGTTGGGGGCCCCGATACATTGGTCCGTTCAGGGTGACCGCGAGGGTGGGTAAGGTAGCATACCGTCTGGAGCTACCCGAGGAGTTGAGTCAGATCCATGATACCATCCATCTATCCCAGTTGAGGAAGTGTATAGCCGATGAGACGGCGGTTGTGCCGCTAGAGGATATTCAGGTGGACGCGAGTTTGAATTACATTGAAAGGCCGATCGCGATCATAGATCGGAAGATCAAGGTTCTGAGGAACAAGGAGGTGCCCCTGGTTCAGGTCCAGTGGCAACATCGGAGAGGGTCCGAGCTGACCTGGGAGCCGGAGATGGAGATGCGGGAGCAGCATCCAGTGTTGTTTGCAGAGTGAGACTTAGAGGGCGAAGTTTGATTCTAGTGGGGGAGAATTGTAACATCCGGATTTCCAGGTATCATAATTTAAATATTTATTTTGAGTTGAGAAGAGGGACTCGACGAGTTGGCGCCTAGACTCGTCGAGTAGGATCGCGATTGATGACTCGGATTAATGAATGGACTCGATGAGTCGGTGAGGCGACTCGACGAGTCCGTGCTGTTGGCAGAAATCCTAAATCTTTGGGCCTGAGCCCTATTTAAAGGAATTTATAGCCTTCAGTTGCGGCTACCTTCCCAGAAGAAAGAACCCTAGCATATTTGAGCGTGTGTAGAGAGAGAGCCACCTTGATCCATTTGTTGTGATTTTGCTAAGGAGGAGAAGTGATCCAACAAGAAAGACCAAGGGAGGTTTGTTGTTCTGAGACTTTCAAGCAAGGAGGCCTCACTTTGAGGTAGCAATTCGACCCTTTTCTTTTTTATTGTGTAGGCTTCTTGATTCAAGGGTTTCTTTATCCTTTCTTGAGTTGGAATAAGAGAATGAGAGGTCCCATTGTGAAATAGACCTTAGATCTGGACCTTGAGAGGTCCAGAGAGCCCCAAACATCCAGCTTTATGCAGTCCCTTTTTGGGTTTTGCAACATGGTTGTCATATTAGGACTAAATCATCATATAGAGCCATATGAGTGTTGCATGAGCATAAAGTTTGGACCTTTACGTAAGTTTTGAGTGTTAGAAGGCCAGATCTATAGGTTAGAGAAACAGATCTGACCTCAGAAGGTTGTTTGAGCATTGTCATGGAAGAAACTCGCCGAGTCCATGAGCGGACTCGACGAGTCGGATCGTGTTGCAGCACGATTCGTGATCAGTGGTAACCGTTGAGAAAAAGGTTAACTCGACGAGTCGAGTGAGGCCTTAGGATGATTCAGAGGACACGTATGGACTCGCCGAGTCACCCGAGTGCACTCGACGAGTCTGGTCAAAGTTGGCCGTTGACTGGGGTTGACTTTTAGGGTTTGGTCTACATTTGGACATTGGACCATTGGAGGGGTAAAACGGTCTTTTCTCCTTCTGAGAGAATATAGGGAGGGATTAGTCTAGCCTTTGAGAGTCGTATTAATTAGAGATAATTACTTTATGTGATTAGGCGGAGGCTAGGTCAGATATTTGAGTTTGAAACTTTCCGAGATTACCCGAGGTGAGTCTTCTCACTATACATTGCCTAGAGTGGTAACTATGTGCAGACCGGAGGGTCTTATGTGTTATGTGTATGTTGAGTTTATGTGCTTTGTGATATATGTATGCTATGCGTTATATAGACTTGACCAGAGGGTCCTACGATCTAGACCGGACCAGAGGGTCCAACGATTTAGACCGGACCGGAGGGTCCAACGACCTAGACCGGACTGGAGGGTCCAACGAGCTACGGGACTGGAGGGACCCACTGAGACACATTGACCGGAGGGTCATACCGGGTCATAGCCTCGAGTGGCTTATGTGTTGTATGTGGTATTTTGGGGAACGCACTAAGCATTTATGCTTACCATGTTATGTGATATGTGTTTCAGGTACCAGCGAGGATCGCGGGAAGGCGCCGGCATGATCTGTACACACTGGCAGGGGATTATGTTTTGAGATTCTGGGATATGTTTTATTGCGATGACATTTGATACATGAGATTTTGAGAATATTATATGAGTTTATTTATGTTTGGAAAAATGAAAAATTGATTTAAAATTTACGTCGTTACAAGTTGGTATCAGAGCCTTGGTTTGAGGGATTCGGATGCACCTTCGGGCGTATCTGAACTCAAACTGAGGATTTGAGAAAATTTTTCATAAAAGAAACAATTTTTCTAAAAGAGCAAAAGATTCTTGAGAAAAGCAGAACAGAGCAGTGTGTACGATCAGCCAGCGCCCGAACGGTGATTTTCCCAAAATACCCTTACATTATGTGTTATGAGATATTATGTGATATGCTATGCATGCTAGAGTAGGCTAGGTATTCATAGTTAGGACTAGAGTGGGCCTGAATTGTGATGCCTTAGCCTAGGAGTTACTGCTACTATGAGATACTTCGAGAGTGAGTAGGTAGCAGCGAGGAGCTTATGAGTGGTCTACCGGAGAGTAGCCTGAGTTTAGTGAGATATAGAGTACTTGTAATCTGGGGATCCTAGGAGGAGGACTTGGGGTGAATACCGATGCGTTGTGGAAGGTAGTATAGGTCCTGTACTACTGGAAACACCG